GAACTACGAAATAGTGTTCTAACGAAAACTACATCAGGAAGACAGTGGACACTTTTATTTAAATTTTGAAATTTTGTATTACCTGTTGTTATTTCGGTGTTTGATGGAAACTGGTCCGAGTTGAAATGTAATTTGTAAGGTTGGACATAAAGTGCTAAGTTTATAATTTCTACCTACGAATCAAATATTCATTGTGCTAGGCTCATGACACGATGCGTCTTATTGTTAGGGATTATTAGACATTTCGATTTTGCTAGCAACTGGAGTGTCTGCTTCAGAGTTGTTTTTGGACAGACTTGAGGATGTGAAGCTCCACATTTCATTCCAGGTGGAGCTCGAATTTTTGTTAGAATCGTGTGAGTGTGTAATTATCGTGCTGCTTCTAATTTCTGATACTCATTAATTTCCAGATCAAGTTTGTGGAGTCTATATTTTTTTCTGAATTTTTCTTAACTGGTTAGAGGTGGGTATGTGGAAATTGTTGCTGTGTTTAACACTTTCGGGCGCCTTAAATCTCGTCGTCTCCTATCAGAACATTTGTTGTAGATGCGCGGTTGTGGTGAATGAGTAACGTAACTGAATATCTGTTATATTTCTTCAGTATATTCATGAAAGTGCTGACTATTCAGTATTTATTACAACTAATCGTTTTATAAATAGAATATATTATGGATTATACACTTGAATATTATAAGCCAAATTTTTATCATTTAGACACGACTTAATGTCTTGCATCTTAATGTTGTAATTTACAATTATTAAAACTGCAGATTTTATTTATCGCTATTATCCAAACGCGTTAGTCTGTACTGATATGTTACAAGGACTATTTACCCATTCTTCGCCAAGGATTTTCTGAAAATAATCTGCTCTTAAATAATGAATTGCTAATTTATTATGCCAGTTTTTACCGTATTCTTATACTTCAATTGCTAAATTATATAGGGGACCCCAGGGCGGAAATGGGAACTTAATATTTTAGGCATGTGGAAGGGACAATAATAAAGACAAACACATGGAAAAATCTTGTGTGGATTTATTGTCTATTTGAAATTTATAATGAGTTATTAGTTTAGTTGTAAGAGTTGCAGTTTTTTTAAAATTAACTTCTTTACAGAAATGTAACTTGCCCCATTTTGCCCCGTGCCCGTGGCAAGACGGGGTATGGTTGATATATGTTTGAAAGAGGTGTAAGAAGACAGATTATCTAATAATTATGACGTGGGATGTAAAAATGATTTAGTGTGCAATGTAAAATGCCGAAACTTTATAATTTGAAATCTATTTAGGCCTAACACAGACGACACACATGTCCACCTCTTCATCATCGTCACTATCACCACCTGCACATGAGTTATGGGCCCATTTCAAGCAAGACGAACACCGGATCCACCCTTCAATAGACTGCGAATAGACTTCGCCACTTTCATTCGGGGCAAAACTGGGTACCCCATTCTACCCCCACCCCATCCTACCCGAGTATACTCTTTCAAATTAGGATTGTCCTACCAAAAATTACATCATAATATAAATAGAAATATTGTGTTTAAGAGTTTTAAGAAAACACCTTGTAACATGCATCATTCAACAAAGTGGATATGAATAATGAATAGGTCTTACCTTCACTTGAAGTTGAGAAAAATTGTAAAATGTGGGAGCAAAACTGAGCATGGGTAATGATTTCAGAAACTGTAACCACAAAATGGCGCTGACTGACATGACATGACCCTGTGCTATATGCTAATGGTATTTCACCCGGTCCCAATAGATCGCAACACATTGCAGACGAAATAAAGCCGATAACCTGTTCTGACCCGTGGCCCCGTTCTGCCCTGGGCTCACATACTTATTTACTGATGCACCTCTGTTTAATCGAGGACGTCATTAAAATTATATTAAGTTTTCCTGCGGGACAGATTACAAAGAGAATAACACGACAACTCTATATATATCGGCCGAAACGACTATTTTTGTAAAAAAACATATTCATATTTACATCTCTAAGATGTGATAACATAGGATTTACTTATTAGACTTAATTAAAATCTGTTATTTAATTTAAGCCCTTTTTATGCAAGACATGTGAAATAATAGACCGGCGTAAAGTGTTAAGTAAATTGTCTCCATTTTTAAGTTAGATTCTCTATATTTTTTGAATGCACGTTATGGCTGCATGGTGGTAGGTCTGTATATTTAAAAAATAGGTCGCTTTATTTTTTCAAGCTTTATATGGTTGCCTGTCAGTAGAAATTAAAATAGATCACATAATGAACTATTCCGTATAGTCTCCTGCAGAAAGCAAGTGAGTGCAGATGGAAGGGAATAACAATACAGAAGAGGTTTATGTTACAGAAGCTACAGATTAAGTTTCCTCAGTTCTTAATGCTGGAGTGCAGAGTAATGTAGGGGGTCGGAAACAGAAGCTCCGCTCGGTTTCGGCAACAGATGGAAATGAATGTTCGGCTTCGTCTTCCGATAACATTCGCCATCCAAGCAAGGATCTCTGCTTAGGAAGTTTCAGGATTATATGAGGTGGTGATTGCAAACATTTCTAGGCGCATGTTACTTCCGGGAACACTGCATCGTATGTCCACAACCCTGAGTGTAAGTAATTTCTATAATATCTTTAATGGACACGAATCCTTCACTTTCCACTTCTACACATGGAGATAAGAGGTCGTCTCGTTTTCTCCCAAAGTGTGTCTTATAAGAACAGTCATCACACGAGGATATTTTCACAATTGTAACAACACATGCCCTATCATTCTTTTATTTCACAATACAGTTGACAAAATACATGGAAACGCCAAACTAGCCTCGCTTCCACCACAGAGCTGCCTTTTAATTTATCTAAAACATTAATCGAATCAAGCGTAGTAAATGCGAAACTTGAACTGCAAACAGAAATACCAGAAGCTTGCAATCGGGAGGTACACCCTGACATTCCGTCCAGCAACACCAAGGGAACAGTTTCCTTGTACGTGATGTGGTCCATTACGGCGAGGACGTACATGGGGTAGATGAATTCGCCCGCTGCTGGTGGAAAACTGTGTTCTAAAAAAGAGTTCCTTCGAAACTACTGAATTGGCAAGAATACTATCACGAACAAATAAACCGGCTGTAAAGTAGGTAATATCCTCTCAGTTTCCTACATCAACTTCCTCTTTTTTATCCGGCAAGGCATAATGATGTAATAAAGTTGGTAAAATGAAAATTAGGTTGAACCCGGAGGTGCTGCACATACATTACTTTTTTCTGCAGTTTTCTTCGTCTGCGCCACTGATTACGTATCTGGCCTGTTCCAGGTTTTTTGTTTTGTGACTGGTTTGTTCATCTCTTTATAAAGCTTATTCACTCCTTCATCTCTTCAAATTTCTATGTTGGCATTTATTTTGGATTTCATTTATTTTCCATACATTTATTTTTCATTATGAAAATGCTAATTTTTAGAGTTCCATAAAGTCATGGAATTTATAAATTAATTGAATTATTCCAGAAGGGTTTTACAATATGGAATTAGTTAGCGAATTGAATTTGTAGAACATTAATACTTTACAATACGTATTACGGTGTTTGTCCATGATTTAATCAACCAAAACGTAATAATTTGAGGTTTGTAATTAAGTAACTATAGACTGCTTCTCGAAAAATTAACTTGGGCTACATTCTCTAATGTTTCTGATAATACCAACTGGCACACGGTTAAAAAGATTTGATTTTACTGCTCCATTTTCAGTACACATTACTACGTGTCCAGTGATCTTTAAACGCTAAGTCGGCAGATCAGAAAAAATCCTGGCTCAGTGGGATAAACGCTAGGCATCTCTGTTATCAGTGTGTTTGTGTTCTGTGTCCAAGATCCTTATCAGCCTCTTCATTATGTTAGCGAGATGAAGTATAAGATGTATATTTCACAGCCAAGCCGAACAATTTCTACTATCTTATCGCAAAAATGTAACTATCAAATATGCGTAAAATAATTACGTATTTAAGTACTTAAAATAGGTTTCAAAATCGAAAGGAGAATA